TTCTTCTCTCCTTTTGTAAGAATGTAGACATCACTCACAATGTTTCAAGTAATCCACCCACCCTACAAAAAAGGAACTCTTGCACGCATAGCATGCCTATGTTTTGAAATAGGTGTATGCCCTTGGCCAGACTTGAGCGCACTATTTCAGTAGACTAGTCCGACACCCGTAGTATCACTACACTTGATTCCAAGGATCCAGTACCATCCAGGTATCCCAGTTACCCTGCTCACAGGGTCTAGTTTTTTTTTTTTTTTTTGTTTTTTTCCTCCGCCACAAAATGGAAAAATTGCGCAATAGTACCCAGAGGTCATTGGGCCCTCAACACCATGACAACTAACTGTGATCCAATGAGGTGTTCACATACTGATCACGCGTGTTATCCCTCAACACCATGACAACTAACTGTGATCCAATGAGGTGTTCACATGCTGATCACGCGTATCATCTTGATGATGATTGACGTTGTCATGCACAGACAGGGCCGGGTCACATGACGAACACGAGATTTTGCTTATAAAACTCTTTGGTCAGTTGTTTTGTATTTCAACGTATTTGGATTGCGATCTCCTGGAGCATTATAACGCAAACGCGCAAAATACTTACAGACGCATATACAAGTCGTATTAATCGCGGCTAATCCACATTGAAAGATGTTATTAAGCGGTAATTTTGGAACGGATTGAGTCGCGAACGCTTGAAAGCCATGAAAGCCTTGAATGCCTTTTATGCTAAGTATGCCAATTTCTTAGTTGAAAAACGTTCACTTGTTGTAAAAAGCAAAATCTGAAATCTGAAACCAAACTGCACATACTCTATGCAATCTATTGAACAACGCTACTACCGTGAGACTGAAGAACATAACTATATGGGATGCAAACTGCTTGTGAAGAAAGACGACATGTTGGATTCACTTGATGGCAAGGAACGTAGCTACGATAACAGTACGAATGGTATTAATTTCACGATCAGAAAGGTGAATCTTATGTTTGTTTTCATTGTAGTTGTATGGATATTCTTTTTTAATAAATACGTGATCCAAAACCCTGTGTTTTTTTGTGTATAATGTTGTTATGTTAAATATTGTTTACGCAATTGTCTTGTCACAAGCGGCCCGAGCTCACGTCTCGAGAAAAAGCCAACGATTAATTCATGAACGCGTCACGCGTTGTGTGACTCGGTGTTAAGTTACGAGAGGAACTGCACGTTATAAGGAATAGTCCATGGAACGAAGTATGGTCGATTTACAACGATACATATTTCGTAATATGAACATTTTTCTCGTAAAATCAATAAACCTTACTCATACCCTGTGTATCCGTTGTATTTTTGGCGATTTCTGCCGTTTTAAGCGTGCTTTACCATTACTGTTGTTTACATCATCTACTTTTATTACGTTGATAAAATCTGTACAGACATCACACCAACCAACTCGCGCGCAACGTAAGAAGACTATAATGAAGGCTTGAAATAATATTGCGATCGATTTTCATCAAGAAATGGGCCAGGAATATTCCACAATAGTGCAAATAATCGTGAAGACGGTTGCAGAAAAGCGATTGCGTGACGCTCGGTAAGCTGTAAGATGACATGTTATTATATACCAGACGCAAAAACTCTTCAGATTCTTAGTCTGCATTTTGTACCCACTCTGCAGTCTGCAGTCTATATTTTGTATCCGGTCTGCAGTCTGCTGTCTTCATTTTGTACTAACAGGTATCCGTGGCACCAATACAGTTTATTTTTGGTTACATTTATTCGCAAAACACACATAATCTACCACAAAATACCTGTGAGTGAGGAAATTCGACATTTTCGTTCTTTCCCACATTAATATTCTTCTCTCCTTTTGTAAGAATGTAGACATCACTCACAATGTTTCAAGTAATCCACCCACCCTACAAAAAAGGAACTCTTGCACGCATAGCATGCCTATGTTTTGAAATAGGTGTATGCCCTTGGCCAGACTTGAGCGCACTATTTCAGTATACTAGTCCGACACCCGTAGTATCACTACACTTGATTCCAAGGATCCAGTACCATCCAGGTATCCCAGTTACCCTGCTCACAGGGTCTAGTTTCTACGGTTCACTTATCTGCGAGTTAACAAAGTTGATGTACTTCAACACGGAAGCTGAGTCAGTCCAGTAGTAAACTTGGTCTACTCTCATTTCCAATTCTTCTCCAATAATTCTGGAGAGCCTTACGCAGATAACACTGACTGTCAGTTCCAATATTGGAATTGAAATTCATGTATGGGACTTGCTTTTTCCATGACAAATGCACAGTGAACTTGGTTGGTGACATTTTTCAAACGGAAGTAAACGACGGCTGAAACTCATTACGATGGCCAATTTACATTGTCAACTCAGTTGGTAAAGCCAAATAGTTTTTTAATACCCCACGAAAGTTTCTTCAAAAGCTTACCCCGTTGATTAATGTTGTTTATAGAAACTATGCATGTGGAAAGTTCTCATTGCAAAAGTTAAGATAAAGTCTGTCAGTTTTGTTTATCTTTGTCCAATGACTTTAAAGTCATGTGATGTTCTGCAAAAATCACAACTTGAGTAAAATGAAAGGTGACCAACCGACTTCTTCACTTTTTTTTTTTTGTTTTTAAGTGGATATTGGGAATTCTAACACCGTTATTAGTATCATTACTATTATTATCATTATTATTAAACTCAGAAAGCAGGGCTGTTCTGAAACCACTTTTGTGACTCAGAAGGCACCCTGTTTGAAAATAATTATTATTGGAAAGGTCTCCCTACCTCTGGAACTGTCTCCTTGCCTCGAATGGTCTTTGTTTTGCATTTCAGGAACTGCTCCACTAATCGACATGGTTTCTTTGTCAGGACCATCCGCCAAGAAAGTGATATGAGGAGAGTCATCTTTTACTCTCGTGAATTACTCTATTGCAGTATACTGGTTTTTTTGAAGTTTGGTTACCTGCTGAAATTTCTCTCAAATTGATGTCATGGCTCTGTCTGGTTTTATCCCGGAGCCTCAAGGACTCGGGCATTAATCCGTACGTTTCTCCGAACCAGAGTGCATGTTTGGCTTTTCTTCTGCAAAGAAATAACAAAACAATACGTTGAATTTCACCAACAGGTCCATATATAATTTCCTAAGCAACCAAATTGTTTACGTTGGCAACAAGAGGGAATTAAAAGCCGACTTACCGTATCTCAGTTAACTGTCTGTTCTGCTGTTTCTTTCCGACTTCTGTAAAGTGTTTACCATTCTGGGCAAGTCTCTGACCCTCTGAATTGTATAACTCGGCGGTCTTTTCTTCAACTGCGGTCGAAAGGTCGTTGTTCTTTTTCGTCACTTTTGCCAACACATCACTTGGTGTTAGCGCGATCTCCTCGGGTTTTATTGTAATTTTAACCCACGTCTCGGCTCGTACTTTTTGCCTCTGTTTACCGCTTGTAATTGAGTCCATCTTGCGTTTAAATCTCCTTATATTTTCGCCGACTGGGCGACCAACGCGGTCGCAGGAGGATTCATTGAGCTTGTAGCCGAGAGGCAGGATGCTCGCCTGAAGTGAATCAAATACTCTACGAGGCATCCAGTAAAACTCTCTGCATTTCCAGGCTACTTCACCGCTTATTTGAATCACGTAAACTGGATTGCTTTCCTCAAGAAAAGGTGGAACTACTTGTATAAAATGAAGGTGGATCGGGGGTTCTATGAGCTCTGAAAAGAACTCCCGATCGCGATCATTTTGTCTTTGATCATTCATGATGGCGCGGTTTGGTTGCATAAAGCAGCTGTTGCGCTAAGATAATTTTTAAAACTCGCGGTAAATCGTCTATTTTACAAATGAGTGGTTTTCTTGAATAGGCCATTGTTTAGTTTTGACAGCCATTGTTATTCAAGCATGGGCTGTCGACAGAAATACCGAAGGTCAAGTATATTCGTTACATGAGGTCACACAACCCGGGTAATATTCAAGATGAAAATGTGCATATTTGAGCGATCGAACGAAAAAAAATTATTTCTTGAAAACTAAAATATATTTTCACAGAAAAAACTACACCACAATTATTAGGACATATTGGGCTATAGAATATAAAAGTGGAAGTAAAAGCGACTTTTGGGTGACTTGCCGCTGTTTGTATAATACACGCTGTCATTAGCTCTTAGGGCCCTGAGGAAGACGGGAAAGGGAATATTCAAAACTCTTCCAAAGCAAGATACTGTAACTATTTTTTTTCCAACATTGTTTTCATAGTCCAATCAATCACACAAATCCTTAAAAAGTAATTATGGCGACACCTCATTGAAACTCTTGTTTTACTTCTATATAATTTCTTTTTTAAGTGATATTTTGGATTTCTCATACTGAAATTTAATGCAGCCAGGTACAACTTTGGGGGTTTTCCCTGGGGTTTCCGGTAACCAGTGTACCCCCGTAATAACGCAAGAGCAAAAAGAGCGGGCGCGGAAGTTAGTGGTGAAATAGGAATCGAGTTTCCGATTAAATAAATCATGTACACCTTGGAATGAGTATGGATGACAGGAAAGTCTTAGTCTATTAGATTATAGATATTTCTGAATTGTTACTTTGACATCAGGTAAAGTAAACACAATGTCGCTGAATGGGGTGATTTTCAACTGAGTCTGGAAAGTAATGCTACTTTGCTTTGGTTTTGCCTTACTTCGCAATATGATTGGTGTAGAACTGAAACTCGCATCATACTTTAAATCTGTCAGATTGAAAATCAAATCCAATCGCGATCTTGGTCACTTGCGTTTTCTAACACTTTGGGAAGATAACCCGTACTTTACTCCTCCTCCTGATTATACTCCTTACTTTTATTTTACTTTGAGTTTGGTTTTACAACACTCAACTGAAATGCTTTCTGAGAAAAAAAAACCCAGTTGACTGGGCATATTTAAAAAAAGATATTTACGTTAAACTACTCAATTGTTCTTCGTCTCGTTTCTGATTTATAAAAGACTCCTGTTGATCAAATAACTTTTCGTTTTCCCTCTTACATCTGACACTCCCAGTGGTGCATGTAGCAATACATCGTTGTTTCTCCAGTTGTTAGGGTACCATAGCAAGAGCACTTGTAGGTTCTCTTTCCAGCTGAAGTGGTGCTTGATAATTGAGCAACTTTCGCGTCGTTTGTATCACAGTTTATGCCAATAAAGATTTTACCCTGGCAGAAAAAAAAAAAAAACAAAACAATATAATTATGATACTGATGATAATGATAAACTACGTCAAGAGTTCGAAAAACGGATGAGCAAAACATTTCTTTCCTCTTCAATGGGTGTACACACGTCGTGACGAAAGCTGACGCCTACAATCTAGACAATACTTATTGTGAGTTTTCCATGCCGAAATCAGAAATCACAAATACAGCTTTCACGTCTAGGAACGTAAGAAGAGAAAAATCCACGTATTTGCTAATACTGGCCTTTGAATGTACGCTGGATTACTGGTTCCCTCAGCAGGCAGGTCGTTCGTGCAAAATCGATTTTTGTTGTCACTTATAAGAGTCATGATATGAAAAAATGATATTTGCAAACGTTTTTTTGTTCCATGACAGGCCGAGGATATCATTGCTCGGTGTGGGATTAGAGAAATAACCATAGAGATACTGAAAGGTATGAATTGTGGGAAAAAAATTTAAAAAAAAAACATTCTATCTTACATTAGGCGGCAAAATGAACTTGTCCGACAAGTCCGTGCTGAATTCCATAACGAGTTGTTAAATGTTTTCTTGTTTTCTTTTCTTTTTTCCTTTGTTTGTCTTTCTTTTTCTTTCTTTTTTTTTTTTTTTAAATGATGATGGAGATTTACGACTTAAAAAAGAGGAAATTCGCTTTAGCTTTGATTCTCCAAATCGATGCGGCCTATGCAGGGCGTGAAATTAATTTTTTTTCTGATTATAAAAGCCACTTAGCTTCTAAATTCTTCAAAGTGGTAGCCAATTCAAAAAAAGTTGGTCGCCATTTTCAAAGACAAACAAAACCTTTTTTTTACGCTGCCATCGTTCTAGAAATTAAGTTTGGGAAAAGATCTTTCACGTGCTACAAAGAGGACACTAGGATGGATAATATGCAACGTTCAAGCTCAACTAAATCCAAGATGGCATCTAGTTATCGATCGAGATGCATGTGCTGCGTTTTGGAAACAAACTTAACGAGGAAGTTAGCCGCGGATTTATCTTTGCTAATCCTTCTAATTCACTATATCTCTAGGTAAAGTAAGAATGAAACATTCTAGTCGCCAATTTGGCGACTAGTTTTCAGGATTTGGATCAGATCACTGATAACCTTCTAAAACCGTCTTTCTCAAGAGCCATCCTGGACATATATTCAACTGTTTCACGGCAAATACATTCGCCGTTCGTCATTTTACAGTTTCCTTACAGTATTTTGAATTTTGTCCGGAAGAATCCGAAGCAGCCTTTCTTTAAGTGTCACGCATGGATCTCTTCGTACTCTGTGTACAAGGTCAGCGAAACGGATAACGTTGGAATTTTTTCACTTTCTAGAAGCGCTTGAGGATTGTAAATGAAGGTGGAATATTTTTCAACGAAAAACTAGCTAGTATATTTCAAAGAGAAATATGGAGTTATTTGAGGACCGTGTCCAGCCGTGTCATTGAAAAGTTTTTATGTGTCAAGCGCTTGGATGGCTTCATACTCTGTATACAGGGTTAGCAAAAAACATCAAGTTCGAAATTTTAGGCTTCCTGAAAGCGCTTGGGGATTGTAAATGAAGGTAGAACATTTCCGTAGAAACATTTTTTTGATTTCGAAGAGAAATATGGAAAAATATCGGACTGCCGGACGTTTAATTATTTTAAGTTTAGTCACTTAATTGCAAGAACGTCAGCGACACAACAAGGATTGCAAACTTCAATTTAAAAAAATTGATGAATGAATGAAAACGTGCGCGTGGTGGATCAACATTTTCACCTTCTTCGAAATGCTCGCAAAGATTTTCGCGTTCCTCCTTAGCAACAACCGAGCCATAAACGTTTACTGCCTCCGAATCTACTAAATCAATGGATTCATCTGATTCCATACCTGATTAAAACGTATAGAACTGTTTTAGACAGAATTGTTTTGATAAGCTCTTCAAATTCATCGGAGAAAACGCAGAAGGTATTTTGAGACGTGTCAAGGTAAACAAAAGCGACCGCGTTGCATCAAGGTTGGAAATGGGCCCTTAATATGTCGTAAAGTAATTTTCAATAGAAGTTTTTTTTCCATCAGAATCAAAAAACTTTCACAATCTTCAACTCAACTTACATTTTGTTCCGTCGCTACAATTTCTTGTTGGGCGATCGAATTTGCTGCCATACCAGTGCTGGATAAAGTCTTAAAAACACAGGAACTGGTCCCAGGTCCAGGTAGACCCTGGGTACCATTGAACCCAGATGGTCCACGAAGACCCTGAACACCAGGTAGTCCAGATCGTCCTGCAGGGCCCTGAGTGCCATTAAATCCTGGAGGTCCGGGAGGTCCAGCAGGTCCGGCAAGTCCAATGTCACCCTTTGTACCATTATATCCTGGAGGTCCGGCAGGTCCAGTGTCACCATTAGTACCATTGACTCCAGGTGGTCCTCGGATGCTCGTGCTGCCAGTAGTATTTTTCACCTATGCAATAAAAAAAAAAACAACAACAACAACAACAATGATATTCACAGTAACCACTGCAATGACGATAATAATGAAAATGACTACAATTGTAGTGATAATGACAATTAGCACAGTTACAGTGAGAATGACAGTGACAGGGAAAGTGACAAAGTGACAGTGACATTGACATTGACTGTGACAATGAAAGTGAGTGGCAGTGACAGTGACGGTAAAAGTGAAAGGGAAAGAGACAGTGATAACGACAGTTATAGTGATAATGACGGTGACAGTGCGTGACAGTGGCAATTACAATAAAAGTGAAAGGGAAAGTGACAGTGACAGTGGCAGTTACTGTGACAGTGAAAGTGAAAGTGACAGTGGCAGTAACAGTAACATTGACAGTGATAGTACCAGTGACAGTGGCACTGACAGTTAATGTGACAGTGACAGTAACAATGACAGTAGCAGTGAAAGAGGCAGTGGCAGTAACAGTGACAGTGAAATTGACAGTTACAATGACAGTAACATTGACAGTGATAGTGATAGTAACAGTGACAGTGGCAGTGATAGTTGCACTGACAGTTAATGTGACAGTGACAGTGATAGTGACAATGACAGTAGCAGTGAAGGTGGCAGTGGCAGTGAAAGTGAAAGTAACAGTGACAGTGAAATTGACAGTGGCAGTGACAATGTAAATGACAATAAAATTAAAAGTGATAAGAACAGTGATAGTGAAAATGACAGTGATAGTGAAAATGACAGTGATAGTGACAATAACAGTGACAGTGACAATGACCATGATAGTGACAGTGGCAGTGGCAGTGGCAGTGGCAGTGGCAGTGGCAGTGACAGTGGCAGTGGCAGTGACAGTGGCAGTGACAGTGGCAGTGGCAGTGACAGCGGCCCTGCCAAAGTGGGAGCTCTTATATGAAAAGTTGTAAAGAAGGAAAACAACATTGACTCAAGTTGGTTGTGAGAAATGCTCAGTTTGTTTTTGTTTTTTTAATTTACATTGGAGACCTTTACCATGCTTATTTGCTCAATGTTGGATTTGCAAACTATGGAGTTTTATCTCTTTATAGTTTGGACTGATGGTGGAATGGTCACCACAGATCAATCAATCTGTCTATAGGCTTACACCACACCACCCCTTATCACGGATATATCTATACCTTAAGTCAATAGTCAAGATATTTTTAAAACTTTTAGAAGTTAATCACACTTGATTGTTCTTATTTTTGACTCAATCATATGTTTTTGTGCTCTTCGGCCCCTCAAACAGGCTCTTTAAGCCAGTACATACGGTTGATTTGAAGAACTTTTTGAACAATAAGCTAAATAGTAGGTTAAAAGCTTGAAATTAGATACAAAAAAGTATCCCTGCCATTCCACAGGCATTGAATAAATGTAAACGGGTCATTTTGAAAACAAATTTAAAATTTGCTGGGGTAGTCTTGCTTGAATTTGATTGTTCAACACCGACTCTTGCAAACGGTGATGGGCTATATGTTTTACAATCTTCGAAAATCCTCTTTGACTCATGATGGAAAACAGTCTCTGTTTTTGCATTAGGCTTAGAGGTATATGTGTACCACGCACTTTGTGATGACCATTAAGTAGCTTAACTTGAAGTGAAAGAGACCATGATATTGTGCAGCTTAGGGCAGTGACTTGGCATTGCAAGATATCTCAGATCAGGTCTTTGATTGGTTGATTTGAAATTTGGTATGAAATGACACACAAAAATACATTCAGGTATAAATACCTTTTGATCCAGTTGCATGATGCTTTGTTCAAAATGTAGAAACCTCTCATTTACACTTGTATTTAGACCAATCAAAACTTGGGCAACATCCTGTACTGTGAGACAGATATCCTCTAGCTCTGTATTTTTGCCCTAAAAAATAAAACAGACAAAATTATTGTGTTAGAGAATTAGTGGACCTACCAAAGTTGGTAAAATAAGTAGAGCAGTCCACATTTGCTTCTGAAAAAAGGATGATAGGAACTGTAACAGTGAGAGATTCAGATAACGATACATTCTTAATGTTGGTAACTTACCTCATTTTTCATTTTTTCCATGTCTTTTTTCATCTGCCATAAAGCAAGAAACTTGTGTTAAACTCAGTGCACTAATAGTAATTTTTTCCTAATTTAGATAGAACTGGAAATGGATGAATTTAAACTTGCCCTTATTGCTAGCTCCTCCAACTCTGCTGAGACCTAACACAAGGATGAAAAGAAAAGAAACTGCTTAACATCATATCATTTTTCTAATGATTGGTTTATTCTTAGTGATGACTTACAATCATTATCATTATTGTTATTATTAAGATGATCATTATGACTATTAGAGGTGAATGAATGGCAAACTTACGTTTTTCTTCAGTTCTTTTACTTCCCCTGAAACCTATAACAATAAAAAAAATGTCAATCAATATTCCTGATTGAGTTTCTTTGTACAATAATACTTTCTTGTGATTTCTTATTCATAATGATCTAATGATGATGATGGCTATAGAGGTGTGCAATTTGCATGATAAGGTTCATACCTACTATGCTTCCAAAGTTGGTTCAAAAAATTAGGAGAACACTAGAACAAAGACACCCAAGAGGAGCTATAGTAATGTTTATCAGGCTCCCCCAGGCACACAACAGCCTGATTAGAAATAACATTTACATCACCCTGTTGAAAAAGTTAAAGCAGAAGAAGTGTACTGTTGTTAATACAAAAATGATGCCTCTAGCCTGCACTCCAAGGAAGTATTACCAGCTCTGTTTAAAATCTATATTTCTATACCATATTTACTAATAATCAGCAAGTTAAAAGTCCTATTGAGGCCCTCAGTCTTATGTACATACAAGTAATCATGTATTTCACGTTAGTGCACTTTTGTTAACAAATCACTGCTAATGATTAAGAATTACTCCTACCGAGTAGTCTCTTAAAGCAGAGAGGTTCCTTTTCAACTCTTGCACATTTTTTTGAAGTTCTGACGTTTCTAGAAAAGGGGAAACAATAAGAAAAGCATAGAAAATGTAAACAAAAAATAATGAAGGATTTCAAATGAAAAGATGAACAGATGGATAAAGAGATAAAAGATAAAGCAATTAACACGTTAAAGTTTCATACATTGATGAGCAAATGTTGACACTGTTCCCCAAACACCTTTTTAATACAAAAAGGGAGAAATACGACCAACTTATTCTTGAACTATTACAAACAATCACTATCAAGAGAATTATTTGTTCAACTCTCAAAAATTTGATAAGCAAAAGGCCTTTTTTCCTGCTTGTTATATGTAAACGATCTTTCCAAGTTAGTGCATCATTCGTAAGGAAGAAGGTACATTGTATGCCCATAATGACAGCACTACATTTACGAGAAATAATGTCGAAATTCAGAAGAAAAAGAAAATTTCGATCTGCACCTGGAAAAGAATGATTATGGCTTGAAGCATTCTGGGTTCCTTCGAATTTGACAATAGTTTGTTAGTAACGCTTCACCCCACGAATTTTGGATAACATTCTGACAAAATTCTATGCTGAAGTCCGGGAAAAAATGGAACAGAATACGAAGCCTACTCGCTTCGCAGTGTGCAGGCATCCCTCGACAGGTTAATCTCCGCAGAAAAAATTATTCGGCATCCATCATCAGCGAGCGAGAGTTCAAGAAGTCTAAAGAGACTCTAAATTCCAAGGCAAAATGTCAGAGATGCCAAGGCAAAGGAAAATTGCCCAACAGAGCTCAGCCGTACACTCGAGTAGACGAAGAATTATTTTGGAGTGAAGGAAAATTTGAAAGTCACAATGGTGCTGCCTTTACAAACGTTACTTTAAGAATCTGGCAGAGCATTTGGGTTTCAGAGGCCGCTAGGACTATTAAAACGCTTAAGTTGAAGATTTTTCCACTTTGCAAATGGCAGCTGGTAGCAAAGTTGTTCAGTTTGAAGAAAATCCAACCAAAACCAGGCAAGGCGGATTGAGAAAAAACACCCGAAGTTCTCCTCAGCAAATGTGGTCTGCCGACTGTGGTGAATAGGATCTCGTGCGGCTTTGCGAAGAGTGGCTTGCACGTCGACCCCGACCAATTAGAAATTCCGGCCCTTTGTACCTTGAAATTGTTTCTAGCCCCTCCACAAGTGTTAGTTGGCCAAATCTCGAATGGGTGAGCATTGAATTGGCCAAATAATGAAGTCAGCTGCAAGTTGTTTACAATAGGAGCGTGCCAAGAAAATAACAAACCATTTCACAAGAAAAACGGCCGTTGCAAAATTAAAAGAAGCGGGCCAACCACTTCATAAAATTATCCAAGTTACTGGACATGCCAGAGAGTCCTCGCTGGATGATTAGGACCAAACAACGGAGAGCGAACGAAGGTAATTGTCTCGTATAGCAAATGGGTATGTCGCAACATTGACTTTATCAGTGATAGTATAAAGGTCGATCGCCGGCAATTATTTCTTCCTCTTGTCCAGGCCCAGAAGATATAAATATGAAGGAAAACATCCCAGCTAATCCGTAAAAAAAGTTGTAAGGCTTTCTTTTGTTTCTTGAGATAGCTGCAGTTGATGTATGCCGATTGTATTTTCGAAACTAACTACGGCGCGAGTTTCAAATTGTGTGTATTTTTCATTCCTTGGCTGTAACGCTTGGTTGATTATTTAATTGATTGAGACTTGAACGGTGTAATGATTGGTTGTTGCTAAGTAATCGTTTTGCTTGAGTGGTTTTACTCTTTATTATTATTATTTTTTTAATTTTTATTTTTTCATCTTTGTTGTTTGTTAAAAGCCGATTTTAAACGTTGCATTTCGCTTTTGTCGAAGATTTTAACGATCACGTTTTGAATAGTAATGTTTTTTGGGTTCATTTTTTCCCCTAAATTGTAATGGTTATAATTAATTGGCAACAGAACTTTGTGTCGTCCTATTCTGTCAGTTATGTTATGAGTGATTGGCAATCACTCTTTTGACTACACACCGAATCGGACTTCACTCGGTCCTACAACCATTTTTAATTATCTACATGAAACTTTGAATTTTCTTGGTGTCAGTATGTTAATCAAAATTTCAATTTCAAAGTTTATAAAGGGGGGATTGATTTTCATGTTAATAAATGAATTCACGTGTTTAATACCACAAGCCCCATTGAAAACATGAACATTTATGCTTTTCACTATTTTTTATAACCTCATCTTTTGTCAGATATTATTACGCATATGGTTTACTTTTCGTGCCTCGACTAACAATTTTAGATATTGGAAAAAGATGAAAAATGGTCAAAGTTCTCGATTCGATGACTCGGAACGTTTGCATCATTTACAATGCCTCCAGCCTTTGCATACTACATGACGCTAACTTGGTGTTGAGAGGCTCACATCATTAAGATACCCTTATGAAGAACGCACTATATATGTCAAAGATAGATTACTCGCTAGCTAAATTCGATATTTTTCCTTTCATCCTTAGCAACCGTGACAACATCCTATAAGTCACTGAATGTGTTATTCAACGCTCAGTTGTCACAACTTAGCCTTATCTGAATATCAAATCATGCAGACACAATAGGTCACAATATGATTACGGGTAAGTATTATGATGGACGGATTTCCCCCTTCTATAAAAAATTTTCTCAGAAATCGATTTCCCCTTCAACTACGTGCATCAAATTTGACCTTCTCGAAATCCTCATCTTTTGTCAGATATTATTGCACATATAGTTTACTTTTCGTGCCTTGACTAACAATGTTATGCATTAAAAATAGATGAAAACTGGTTAAAGTTTTCAATTCAATGACTCGGAGCGTTTGCGTCATTTAAAATGTCTCCCGCCTTTGCATACTACATGACGCTAACTTGGTGTTAAGAGGCTCACATCATTAAGATACCCTTATGAAGAACGCACTTTATATGTCAAAGATAGATTATTCGCTGGTTAAATTCGATATTTTTCCTCTTATCCTAAGCGACCGTGACAACATCCTGCAATCCACTGAATGTGTAGTTCAACGCTCTGTTGTTACAACTAGCCTTACTTAAATATCAAATCATACAGACACAATAGGAATGCCTTTGTTGTCCATGATTACAGATAAGTATTATGAAGGACGGATTTCCCCTTCTATAAACAATTTTCTTAGAAATCCTATACAAATCATAAGTGCGGGGAAAGCTCTGGTAAATAAAGGTCAAATATGCAAAACTCTGTACGCAGTTCTTCAAGAAATTTTTTTTTTTTGGGAGTGGAAATTTTTTATGCGAGAGAGGTCTGTCAATAAATTGGACTTTTTTACTTAAAAAGACGATGGCTTTTGTTGACCCAGTTTCGTGGAATCTTAATAATGACAATACTCAAATCATATCGAAACGGAAGTTCCTCTAATTTCCTCTTTAGACAAGAGATGGTAAGGACCGAAGTGAATTATTTTTTGCTTCATCGTGTCGTTTAATTAGTGCACTTTTTCAATCACTTTTAATATTCGAATGGATCAAGACTTACAAGTGTTTAATACTTACAAAAGGGAGGAGCAATGGTAGCCTTACCTGTAGAAACTTCGCTCCGTGCCGTAATGATTGCCACAGCTAAAACCAAAGTGGCAAGGGCTGTTAAGAGCGAAGCAACAGCGATGGCAGATACGATAAAGAAGAATGGGTTATGCTTCACTGTATCAGAATCTTTATACGGCTGTGTTTCCATGTTTGGTTTTGCCTCTGAAGTGTCCTTTCTGAAAACTACATCGTCATAGGTTTCGGTGTTGGCTTCCTGTTTAGATTCCATTTCGAAATAAATGTTCTCCTGCCCGACCTCGATGTTAGTATCCATCATTGGATGGTATGATTGTGCTGTTTGTGAAACAGATCAACTTTAGACTCTTCTTGGGACGAAACGTGCTTAGGCAGACCATAGAGATGCTGAAATGCGATGCGATATGATCATGTGATCATCACTTACCCGATGAGAGAGCTAAGATTGACTGGTTCGTGAGCTGTCTTAAATAGGATTAATGACAGGAAATATTTGTTAGGACGTTGGAAATCGGTTTCACGCAAGAAATTAATCACGATTAGATGATACATGTATGTTATTACAAGGGCGTAGCCGGGCGGGGAAGGGGGGACTTTGTCCTGGGGTTCCTGGGTACCCGTGTACCCGTAAGCCTCGCAAGGGTAAAAGGGGCGGACGCGAAAGTGAGTGTTTCTGATAAATAAATCGATAACCTGCTTTACTGTTACTTTGCTTTGATGTTGGTTTTACGACACTCAGCTGAAATGCCCTCTGAGAGAAAACCCAGTTTACTGGGCATATTTGAAAAATATTATTTACGTTAAACCACTAAACTTTTCTTCGTCTCGTTTCTGAATCATCATTGTATTATCTTCTTCCTGAGTCCTGAACAAAAACATAATTGAACTCTTACTTTTTCTTCCACGATAACATTTCAACGCAACAACAATGAATACATTGCTGACATTTCGATAACTTTTAAAACGTACTCTTTTGGTGTCTGGATCAAATGTTCTGACTGTGGTAGTTGTGTTAGAGAACTAGGATATTCCAGAAAAGATTCATGATGTGAAGGAAGTTATATTTTTACTACCATGCGCTTTTTTACCATGTTAGGCTGGATTGGGGTGAATACGTTTTCCTTGCTCGTGTGCGGTTTTATCAAATATCTCCCTTCCTTTGTTTTTTCAGATCGATACAAAATGAATCATGTCTTTTCTCAATTAAAATGACGCCGTTTATAATTTCTTAGAGTTTGATTGGCAGTAATCTTGTCGTACTAAGAGATCCCAGAACGTTTCAACAATTTCATTCGAAACCTCCATAGTGTGTATGAATTTTATCTATATTACCACGTGCTTGTTTACCATCCTACTGCATAAAGGTGCACTCCTTTTCACTGTTCAAGCGCAGTTATGCAAAATCTCTCTCTTCCGCATTTCTGGATCAAATTTCCCTGTTCATGCGCAGTTATGCAAAATCTTTCCTTCCCGCATTTCTTTAGATGGAAACAAAACTTAGACATCGTCAGAAACTCTTATTCTGTTAAGAATCTCCAACAATAAAAGAAGTTTAAGTCTGCACTTGGGTTGAGTTTCAAATGCTTAAGATAAAGTTTTTTTTTCTAAATATTTTTTTCGGCCGTTCAGCCTTCTTCAGGTTAAAAATTACAAACTAAAAGGCTATTTACAATGATTGCGACTTATATACAAAACAGAAATTTTAAGATTGAGGTTACGTAATACAACAAAGGTATAAATTACAAACTGAGAAGGGTTAAACAATGAAAGACAAGTAAAGAACCATGGGTGACATGTGAATACAAATAAGTGACAAAAACTAGAGAGAGAAAAAAAATCTCACTTAATTAGTAGTGTTTACTCCGGAGTAACAAGCTCCCCATTGAAGGCCTCTGAATGAATGTAATCAGGTAAAAATCACAACAGGATCCCAGGATTCAGACAGTTGTACCAAACCACTTAAGCCACGCGATGAACCAAAGTTTTTTCCATCTTTGCTATTAAAAAAGTAGTCCTGAGACATAATGGACGTCTCGCTAACGAACCACTTTTTCCTGTACTTGTAACATTAATAAAAGGTTCTGGTGGAAAAGACACCTTATTTTATACCACTGATGACAAGCAAAAAGGTCATAGGGGTACCCCGGTTAAAAATATATTGATAACTCTTTTAATTAATACCAGTTCTAATTTAAAGGAGAAAGTTATAAGAGTAAAATGAAAGTTGTCTGTACCACGAAGCATGCCTTTACTGTTTAGACTGGGAGTCCTAAAGCTTTTTAAGCATGTATTCGAATATCTTATGACGATAAGCCCACCAACCACCCCACCCCGTGCTATACTGTTTTCACCCAGCGGCTGGTCAGCGGTCACGTTTATGAGGTAAAGATAGCGATCGTTTCCTGATCACCGTTCTTGTTGATCCGAAAATCAAACTACCAGCGTGATATTGCCTCGAAGATGAAGCAGTTATGTTATTTGATTCGTACTTCACATTCGAGTCGAAGCTTGGGTGGCACAGGTCATTTCTTACGGTGGAATCGACGAGGGGAATTCGAGCACAAGTTGTAGTTTTTGAATTGTTGGAAGAAGTTCATTTGAATCGCTTTCGTATGTATTTCTGACGGTCTTAGATCTACCTGCTTGATTTATATCTGCTACGCTTCATGTTGACGAGTCCCTCAAAATGGCGACCAAACTTGGAGATTGCCGAAAATTAGGTAAGTTCACGGAGTTATAAAGCTTTCGTAAAGGTCGGGCCGCAAAGTTTTTTTCTGTAGATACCTTTTCTATGGCACCTACTTGCTAGCTATGTTAGTTGGATCAGTTAAGAACGCCTCACTTTTTCAAAAATTTACCTTGAATTTGATCGGTTTTCGCGTGTGTGACTTAAGCGAACCGATACGGTGTCATTCAAGTCTTCCTGTTTCCTTGATTGAAACATGATGTTCACAAAAGTCGCCTCGATAGATAAGATAGAGTTAATATACATGGCTGGGTTATTTGTTTTTTTCTGAGTTCCGTAGTTTTTTTGTAAATTGTCCTCCAAACTTGTCTCAAATTAAAGTCTTGAAAAGTGTCACGACAAGCCTTCGGTCGAGTGAAATTTAATTTCCGCAAAACTCTGAAAAATAAAGAGTTCCGATCAAACGGATTGTGGTTTTAGTATAGGTACACGAATTTCTTACAACACACAAGAAATGAGCGAAATCCGTGTCTCAAGCAAAATCGACCGGACCGCTCTTACAGAGACACTCTCTTAATACAGGGGTATACAGCAACCACGTGAAAACTTCGTGGTCTCACATCTTATCGATGATCCTCATCTGCTATGAAAATATTCGTTTTCAGGGACATTCGTCTGATAAATGCGCTCGTTGTTTGTAAAATGAACAATGTTGGTAAATTTTGCCATCTTGCGGAATGTGAGGAAAGTTCTAAGCACACTGTAGTGAAAGATTTATCTTTCATATTAGGATAAAATTTTAAACGTTTGAAAATCGTTGAATCCTAACTTCGAGTCAGTATTCAATCTGTGATCAAAATCTTTTGCGCTTTAACAAAACGGTAATGAACTAAAAGAACGATGTTTCCATAAAACCGAGCAAAGGAACTTCCAGTACACAAAAAAAAAAGAGAAATAAAGTCTTTGGCCTGGCCTACACTGTGGACGGTAGATTATACTCAAACTGTCGATTACTTCTCAAGACTGAAAAAAAAGGGAATTTCTCTTTAATTATTCTTGTATTATTCATGAAAAAGAAATAAAGTAATGTGATCTTAAGGGTGTTCATTGCAAGTACGTTTTGACAGCCAGTACAAAATATCGAGAAATTAAGAATGGTGAAATTAGAACTCATACTGTAGATTATTCCTTTCTGATTCCTTTTGATTTTCATGGATTTTCCAGGGCTGAATTTGCATTTTTTTAATTGTCTTCTTTTTTCTTAATCAAAGCGAATAATGCACCAAAAATAAACCAGCGAGTCAGGCTTATTTTCTAAAAATCAATGAACTTCCTTTTCAATTAAGAAGGGGCCCCCTTCCCATTTCTTTTCTGTTTCCGGCTTAAGTCAAGAGACTGAGGAGAGAAACTTTCTGACGGAGTTTTCTCACGCGATTAGAGAGACCAAAAGTTTGGTTCGATCACAAAATCCTGCCACAAATTCTTAATGACAATGACACTTTTTGAAAAGACCTCTGAGCTCGATATCAAAGGAATATCAAACATGAGTATAATTTTAGTCGGGTACAACTGTCTATCACTTGAGGAAAATGTGGAAAAGGCAGAAAAAAACTGAGTTTTAAAACCAAAACTGTTGGACATTAAAAAAAAAGGTTTTTCGTGTCATTGTCAATTGATATTTATTTGTTTCTACCTTGTATAAGCTTTCTTAAAATTGCTTTTAATATTTCAATCGTAACTGTTTTAAAACTGCAATTAATTCCATTGTCATTTCTTTTAGCCCGTTTGCAGATAATCTTCAAGTTCGCTTTAAAGTTTGTAAGACTTGTCACTAATTTTCAGACTGCTTCAACATAAAGGATGTACAAAAATAATTTTCGCTTTTAATGTTCACCCTCAAAAAGGTGAAAAACTGAAATCAGTGAGAATACAATTCAACCTAAGGGTAAACTGTTTCTTTTACATCACGCGACGAGATGAATGAACCAAAAAACTAGATCAAAGTAATTTATTTACGACAGTGTCTTCACTGAATGACTTAGTGAGTAAGTGAGTTAACATTTGCATATCATACTCACAACTAAGAGCAATTCTACGCTTCGCTGAGCTGCAAGTTAACAAAGTCGATGTACTTCAACGCGGAAGCTGTGTCAGTCTAGTGGTACACATGGTCTACAAAGTCTTGCGTAAGAAGATAGGTCAGCCTATGACGCTTAAAGCTTACGAAGAAAGATAGTGTATTTTCTGTGAGGAACAGACCGTTATTGACTGATTTCCTATAATCTTGTCATAGTGTTATTGATCAGAACGCTTACTTTTCAAATGGATGTAGGCTGCGAACCTCTAACATTAATTTTGTTCGATTGCTTTGTTAGGCTATACAATAAACCCAAACAACTTTGGTTAAAAATCAAGAGATTTTTCTAGTAGTATTAACTAAGTCATGGTATATACCTGCATAAAAGTGGGAAAAAGAGGATTACAATCTTTTTACTACAGTCACGTTATCACACACACCTTTGTGTAGTAGATACCTGCTAAGATTTTTAACCAAAAAATTTGTCGATATTCTATAAAGATAAAAAACATGCAGAATCGTATTGTGTGGTTCTAACATTAGTCAAGATGTTTTGAAAGTTTTTTTATCTCTTTCGAGCTACAAAACACTTATAAATCATGGCATGGGTTGTCCTCATTACTGAGCTTTAACTTTACGGTCACATATGGGATAAGTAACTTTTTTATCCACCGTTATCTCCGAGGAGAAAAAACATCTGTCATCTGTTCTGGTTTCTAATGGTTATCCTTTTTCTTTCTTGCAGAAACTCACCAAGACCGGAAAACCAAACAACAGTGCCGAACCCGCCAACGAGTTCAATGCCACTGCGGTTTTACCTTATCTTAAAGGTCTATCCGAACAGCTTCGCCGTTGCCTACAACAACAAGGCGTACGCGCTGTTTTCAAGTCGGAGACTACGCTAAGATCTCAGTTAGTACGACCAAAAGACGCTGTCGACCCGGCTAAACAAGATGGTGTAGTTTACAGGATTCCCTGTGAATGCGGCAAGGTGTACATCGGAGAGACTGGAAGACCTGTGCCAGACAGAATTAAGGAACACAATCGAGACATTCGAGTCGCCTGTACCGAGACCTCCGCCGTTTCAGAACATGCCCACAACACCGGACACAAGCCACTCTGGAACGAAGTAAAGTTTATTGATCGTGACCCTTATTACTACACGCGCGAGGTCAAATAGGCTATTCATATAAGACTTCACCCTAACAACATCAACCGGGATAGTGGAATAGAAATTCCAGAAGTGTGGATGCCCACGATCAAGAAACACAACAACAGGAGAGCCGTGCGACAGCGGACCGCCGAGGGAGCAAATCACTGAGTGAACAGCAAGGATCGAAATGCACAAATCAGAGCTGTTGAAAAACAACCAATCACAGCAGAGCATAATGCTTTATAAGATCACGCATGACCAGTCGACCTCATCGCCTGAAGAAGACTAGCGGTATTCAGTCGAAACGTCGCGATCTACATCACACGTGAGGGGGGGAAGGAGGGTGAGATCCTCACAAGTAAGCCGATTTAAAATCAATTGCTGTCGGAAGTTAAATGAAAACTGCTTTGTTTCTTCTTTTTCGCTTGTTTCTCTGTTGACAGTCACGGTATCTGCTGAGACTTCAGTCAGTGCCTCCCAAATACCAATTAGGCATTATTATCTGCTGAACCACGAGTGAGTTAGAGGTTAGGGGCTTTTATGCTCCAATGATTAACTTTCCTATTAATATAATCCGTGTATAGAATATATGCAATTGATTTTAACGCTTTTAGTTTCTGTAACAGCGGGAGTGGTTGACGTTAAAGTAGTGAAAATGTTTGCCGCGAGGTATTTAGAAGATGGATCTGGTAAAGGAAACACATAGGAGAGTGCATGAAGACAGCAGAGGGCAGCTGATGACCGCTTGGAGAAGGTCAGCGTACAGGTGAAGAAATCAAGTCAGGTGAAGGAAGAAGGGTGCGGCGAGGGTGGCGACACAAAATATAGTGATGATGACCTTATACGCCCACTGGTGCGGTGAGATCAAATCGCAATAATGGTGATGATGACAACAGAAATCTTGGTTTATCTTTGGATCGTTGTTAAATTCAGTCAACTTAACAACTCAGGGGGATGTAACTTCAAGAGTTGAAGCCTTAAAATAATTAACGTAAGCCACAATGACTGGTATTTGTGCGCGCTTCGCTATCCCAAATAGCCTTATTCACTACTGGTTCGCCGACTTCTAACCCTCAACACCACTTTGTATATTCTTCATGCTGTTCTCTACATATTTCCTAAGGTGCTGACGAGGAGAATTTGTTCAACAATCAAGAGGTTTTTCAGTTGATGATATTGCAGGGAGAAATTAGATACTAGTCATTCTTAGGGGTTAAAGGGTTAACAAATAGAAGGAAAGTACTCTCTTGATTTTCATCGGGTAGCCAAGGAAACAGATCTAACCTGAATCCTTAAAAAATCCTCCCAAGCTTATAATTTTCACACCAGGATTTCAAGCTAAAAGTTGAACTATTTTGAATCCTGCCTCTCTCTCTCTCTCTCTCTCGGTCGCTTGCCCAAGCTACTGATCTGCGAGGGAAGGGCCTCTTCGATAAAATGGACCACAGTGGTTAAGTTCATTCTCTCTCATGTTGGCAGCTTTTACAGAGAACAAGGTTTTCTTGACAAGTGCATGACAAAGTTGCTAGCGTCAATTCATGGGACTCAATTCATTGATTTCAGGACTGATCTAAACAACAAACAAATTCGCACGTCATAGAAAATTACCTTTGTTTATTCAATTCCTACAAAATGTTTAAAGCTTTACTTAACATTCACAAAAACATAGAATCCACTGTATCGAGAGAGTCTGGAAGCTGTACTCTCTGTAACAAATGGTTTCACATTAAAATAGTTCATGGCAAACGTGCAAATTGACAATATTAATCTCTACTTAAATAGTTTCTTGAAGATTCACATACAAACTCTACACTTTTTCAAGAAATATTATTGTCCCAAAAATGTTTAACTTAGTTTGCTCTGACATTCTTAAAGAGCTATATTACGGGCGAAACGACCAGAGCGTTGTAATGCACTCAGTGAAAAGCTTAAATTGCCTGCGAGAAAATGGAAGTGTATTATAAAAAGCGCCCAATACAAAAATGACGGTTTTTCTTATCTTAGTAAAATTACGAAAAATTAAGTTTACGAAATAGAACGACTGCGTGTTTGTGGTCGTTGTTAGCTTTTCATATAAACGAAGTTAAATGAAACAATATCATACCACATAATTAAATTTGACTCTCTTTAAGAGCATTAAATTAAATACTTTCCTAGCTTGATGAAGACAAAAAAAATTAATTTAAGACTACCTATTAATTCGCTCTGCCTATTCAAATTCGCTTCGTTTCAATCCAAAAACAAAAATGATTTGAAAAACAGTTTTTTCCTTTACTTCTTCGGACCTTTCTTTTCTTCTCCGTTCTTTAACTTTGTTGTTCCAGGGCTTCTCGTTGTACTTTTAGTCATCCCAGAACTTTTCGTCGTTCCTTCTTTGGCTTTGTGAAGACTCTCCCTACTACCTCGCACATTTTCCCGACTTCCGGTTCTTGCCATTCCAGTCGACTTAGTAGCTGATTTAGACGCGGCCGAACCTGGACGATCCGGAGACCCGCGAGACGAGGTGCTGCTTGGGCTTGAGGGGATTCCCGAAGATACCCGAGGTGAAGTGCCCTCCGAAGAGTCCTCGAGCGATCCCGTACTACCAAGTGACGTCTGACTGTCAGATTTCCTAACCCTTGATACGCCACTAGGTCTCTTCGTGGAGGGGGACTTTTCAGCCGTCCCCTTTAAATTTGTTCCGCTTCTCTGTTTGGTGGGACCACTTGGTGGCCGAAGTTCTCCCGACTTTTCACGACGAGGCCGAAGTTCACCGGATTTCTCTCGACGGAGGCCGTAACCACTACTCGGAACGTCGAGCCTAGGTTTTCGACCGAGACCAGTGGGCGGTTTTTCCGTGACCACTGTCGACTTCTGTTCCGAGTGTCGTTTGCTTGTGAAGGCTCCCATGGTCTGTGTGACGCCTTCAGGTCTTGACAACTGTTCTCTAAGTTCTACATTTGTTCGTCCAGTAGCTAAAGGAAAAATATGACACAATGAGATCAACATGCAACATCTCCTTAATTGTTCAAAAACAGATTGTCCTGCCAGTATCATTGAAAATGTAGAGAAGAGTATGAAGAATACGGAAACTGATGTTAGGGTGTAAAGGAGTTAAAAAGTCTTTGGTCGGCAACAACTTGTTTAGTTGTGGTAGGTTATAGTTTCTTTGCCTCTAAGTGCTTTTATTTACCTTTGCTGGGTTCGTTCTTTAGAAGGAATTCTTCCAGTGTTTCCCAGCCTCCTCCGACTCGTACCATGACAGTGCTGCGAAGGATACGAACCAAACGCATCTTCTGGGAGTCACCGAACTGTAAGAGATGACAAAACAGACGGTTAAATATAAAGTAAGCAGTGGTGATTGGTGATCAGTTTTCGGTGTGCGGCAAGATCTGTGAGCAAGCATACAGAAAACTACTCTTACCGCGGTCACAGGATAAGTATAAACACAACCCTGAGGAAAATTCTCCTTAACGAGTTGCTATGTTGCATCGCTTGACAAAGTTATAATTAAAGAATTTTACATATTTACTTCGTAATATCTTGAAAATCTACAAAATTACATCGTACACCACTTCGCTATTGAACTTTCTGATGCGAAACGAGCAAACAACCAATCAGATTGCGCATAATAGTATCAAGCAAACTGTCCAATGCTGAGAGAGTAGTTTGGTGTGATGTGACGAAATAACCAAGGAAATAAATCGGCAAAGTGGTGAATGAATTGTGAGCTTGGAAAGCTAAATATTAATTATTTAAGGGGGCTCTTACCCTGTACTTGTTCTCGGCCACTTTGACAAATGTCACGCCGCACTTGCGACACAGGCGTTCAATTTCAGACTGAATCTGTTGTTCTTCAGTCTTAGGCTTCTCTGGCTTCTTAGTCTGATGAAAGGAATAAGTGTCAGACCAATAATTATAATTACACACTCTTGGTGAATACTGGCCCCTTACTGCAACAACGTTTCCTAGTTTCAGTGGCACGAAGCGGAGAGCTAGTTTAATTTAAGGGAACCACCTAAAATCCGCTAATTTTCACTGACAGTTTTCTGGTACCCTTCTATATTCCCCTGTGGAGGAAGAAAGTCTAGAAGTTAAGTGTCTTCTTCCGGAACACAACACAATAAACCAGCCGAAGGCTTGGGGCCAGAACTTTCTATCTAGAAAGCACGCCCGCTGACCACAAAGCCCACGCCTCCTAACAAGATGTGCCACAACTCCCCTTTTAAATGTCATGAGTTGAACTGGTAGGAAATGGTGCTTACTGGTTTTTTATCCTTAAGCGAGTTTACGAATTCTTTGTAGTCGATCAGTCCATCACGTTCAAATTTACTGGCGACTATTTCCATCTCCCATCTCTCTGTTGGGAAACCTGGAAAACAAAGACAGAAAGGGTGTTACTCCAAACATGTCACGTTTATATTAAACAGTATGTCACGCTTAGCTTAATAAGTATGTCAAAAAGTTAAGGTGGAACAATATGTCACGCTTACTTGTGCTGAGCACTCCTGAGATAAACTGCTCTCTGGTAAGCTTGCCATCTCGGTCTTGATCCATGCGGCGGAAGATGTCAAGAACGCGTGACTTGCTGTCACGCAGCCATTTGTTAAACTGTGAACAAAAAAGAAATTCATCAGATCAATAAAACGACAAGAAGTAACTGGAATATTACGTGCGCATATCTTGAAAAAGAAGATCTATCTTTACAGTAAATTGTTCATAATCTGTTTGATAAACTTACCCTACTCTTCCACTCGTTGAAGTCAAACTTCGCCGAGGCTCGTCTCTGCAAAAGGAAAGAAATTGAATATTTGTTATAAAAAAAGAAGAAATAATAAATTTACTATTGAAAATTGTCCATCCACTTATTCAGAAAGATTGAGAAAATGTCACAACAGCTAGATAAAAAGAAAAAAAAGTGGGGAAAAAGCAGCGATTCATCATGAACTTTGAGGAAAGACATCGCTAAATAAGCATTTTTTCGCGAGGAAACAAACTAAATCAAAACAGCGTGAATCACGCCTTTTTATTTTCCTGAGTGATGCGCGACTGAATCACAGTAACTTTACTTACGATGGCAATTCGTTCCAACTTCTCTTGAAGACGTCGCAGCCTCTCCATCGAAAGAAGCCACAAATGCTGCCATCGTTTGGACAAGTGCAGCAAAGCTGGATGATTCTTATCAAGTGTGGTGGAACCAGACCGAGTGAACGAAGAACCCGGGCTGGTGACCAGCGTCAACTTCTCGCGTGACCGTTCGCGAGTGAAGGACGGAGAAGGACTGGAGGTGAGTTTAGGTATTCTGCTTCCACGCCGACCTTGCTTGTCCGGAGTGGTCTGAGCTTGGACTGGGGCAGCAGAAACAGCGGTAGGCGCTACAGAACCACGTCGTTTTACCGACTTGGTGAGTCTGTCGTATGTTGGCTGTTTCTTGGCCATTTCTTCTTGAAAACCTTTGTGGTCTTCCAACAGCGTCATGACTTGCTCGTAATCATCGTCAGGGATAGGCTCATTTTCCTTTTCGATCAGGATTTCTTCTTTCTCTCCAATCCACTGCAGCAGTTCCTCCATCATGCTTTGCTCCTCTGTCAGCTTAGATTGTTCTTCCTCCAGGCGAGTCAATCTTTGAACTGACCATTTGCGAACCTGGAAAAGAGCCAGCCAACTGTTTGTTATTCATCCAATTACAGTCAAATTACACCAGCAGGTTTTCTTTAACAAATATTCTTTAGAAAAAATTTCCCTTAGCAGTGAAGGTTAAACAATATGACGAAATTTCCCTTGGCAAGTCACCTTGTTGAGAACCTGACTCGCCAGTTTTTGGAAAAGGAGGATTGTGAAGGAAAAACTTTTCAAGGAAAAAATTTGCTGGTGTAGATGACTTAACTTGAAAAGGACACTTGTCACGAAGATTTCAGGAAAATTCTGCTCCACCTTAATTCTTTGCCACTTTAGACAAGGAAAAAGTTTTAAAGGAGGAAGCTCTAATGTGTCCACACTCACAGACAATATTACCGACGAACGTTTCATAGCGAATAGCTTTGTTTTACAGCTCGTATTCAAATGTACAGATTCACTAAGTCACCTCATCCCATCGTTTCTTTAATCTTGCAATCCATTGCTGGATGATTGGCAGTGCGCTTGGATGACAGAATCGTGCAATCACTTGGCCCTTCTTAATGGCTGATTGAACGTTCACTTCCTCTGCCATTAGATCTTCGTGGAAAACCTACCATGGACACGAATCCAATGAATTGTTAATGTGGCAAGCTTAACGGACCTACACTAAATCTTTGTACAAATAAAGGCAAACTTCGCGATCGCACAAGAGCTAAGGCAAATGTTAGAAAACCTTTGAAATTCGGAGATCGTCATGACTCGTAAAAAGAAGGGCCACTTCTCATAAATTGAAAGTTAGCCAGCGGTGTCGTATTACTTCGCACGTACCTTGTGTTCACTCAGTTGATCAGCAATAGTCTCTAAGTCGTCGGCAATTGGACCCAGTCCCCTAAGCGTATCTTCGAAGTCTTTCAGTATGCGTAACTCTGTCTTGACGGCAGTGTCGAACTCCTTCGCCAAAACGAGCGCATTGTCGAGTCTACCAGATGAATTAAATGAAGAAATTAGTTATCTGTGAGTGGGTAGTGTGAACAGTAAGCAATTTTGCCAGAAAGGTAAAATGTCAAAATATGCTTCTTTTTTAGTCGACTTAAAAAGCGTTACCTATCTTGTTTAGTGTTAGATAAGGCGCTGATGGCTTCCCAACGCATGCGCAAGTCATCGAGCCTCTCTTCCAGTTTGTGCGGGTCCTCCACTTTGTTCTCATTGATCATTGTTCTACCTGCATTCATTACCGAGTCGTAATTTGCTTGGCGGCGTCCGAGCTCGCGTTGGAAGGTCTGCAAGATTGGAACAAGTACACTGTTAGAATGTGAATATAAGAGATCCTCGCAGCTAAGAAAACTACTGAACTGGTAGTTGAAATAAGACCTGAAAAAAATTTTCAGGCTCGTACGGGATTTCAACCCATGACCTCTGCGATACCGGTGCAGCGTTTTTGTCTCGGTCAGTAGCATGCGTTCTTTGTGTACAAATCTGTCATGCTAAAATCCGCGAGTGAACGTCTTATGCTTAGGAAATTTTCTTAAAAGATTCTGATTCGGTTCAAGTATGCTCGAAATCCATGTTGCATCCCTAACCTTGTGATTGTCAATTAAGATCTGTACAGTTTCAGGGTCACCCATGACGGCAGTTTCAGTGGAAAGACTGGGCTCCACTGCACTGAGCCAGTCAAGCAGCGACTGCAGGGCATCCTGGAACATACCAGTGAAGAGGAGAGCCTCCTCTAGTTTTTGTTGTCTGAAAAAGGAGTGAAGCAAACATAAGTCATCATATAAAAAGAAACCGTAGAGCTAATTGTTTTACTATTAAGCGTTAGACCTCCATGATACTAAGTGTTACATGCAACTAACCTTTCCACTGATAGCGCGCAGATGGCGTCCCATCGTGCCTTGAGGTCAGCTATCTTTCCTTCGATAATAATGGCGTCATCTCCAGGACTCTTCTCCATCAACACTTTACCCGTCTTAATGATTCCATCCATTGATGTTTGGTTGGCACCGAGCATGGATTGGAACTCCTGAGAGATAAGTAACAACATTGTCAAAAAGCTGCTTCATTCTCTATCATCTGCGACCCGTGCAAGTTGTCGCTTTATCGATTTATATTCTTGTTCCCTTTCAGCTTTTTTTTACCACCTTCACCCTTAAATCCCTAGAAGTGATAAGCGTCCAACTTCTGCCGACACTTCTCACCCCTGAATCACACCTTAAGCTCATGTGAATAAAGGAGATGATCGCGAACTAAAGAAAGTATTGATTGTCATACACATTCTCCTTGTAAGGTCCACAGGAAATGATTAGAGAACAGTATGGAGAATATGCATACTGATGTCAGGGTGTACAAGGTTAACAAATAACTATTCGACGTTTTATTCTGTTGAACGAAACTTTCTACGACGTGAGAAATGACCCAAAATAAGGTAATGCTGCTCTTTTAGCACAAAGGAGACAAAAAGGTGAAAAAAAAGACATTCACAAACCTTGTGTTTTTTAAGTTGGGACCTCAGGTGAGCGGGGTCCACCCCAATAGGTTCCTCATCTTTAAGGCTCCGCTCAGCTTCGTCCAGCATGTTCAATAGTTCTTCAGCACCTTTGAAGAACTTGTGCGACAGCTTGTAATTTTCATCGAGATCTTTCTTTCTACCCGAAGACAGACCTGTCAGCTCTTTCCAGCGAGCGTCCAGGTCACGGATCGTATCGTCGATGTAAGTCACGTCCTCCTGGAGACACACATCTGTGATCTTGAATGCTAGTACCTTGAGTTGTTTGAACGGGTCACGGTGTGCGTCAATGTCCTCTTTGAGATCCTATAAGGGAAGAAGGACCATTTAACTCTTTGACCCTCGACCTAAATTCTCAAACTCAATACTTAGTTTTTCCATCAGAAAGAGGTAAATTTTTAAAATTTAGGAGGACATTTATTGGGAATTTTGTTCAGACATTATTCTTGAATTTAGTAAAACACTTGAACGACCTTCGTAAAAAAAAGAGCAAATGAAAATGAAGAAATTTTTTTCGAAGACCGTTTCTATCAACTGCAGTAAACTACTTAAAAACTTTTCCTTGGCAAAGAAATAAACAAAAGCTTAAAAAAAGGAAGAGTTTCATTTGAAGGCTGCGGCTCCATTAGGATGGCATGATACTTTAGCTAGCGCATTTAATCATCTCTTAACCCTTTAGCTCCCACAAGTGATAAACATGTAACCTCTCTATAATATCCATACATTATCCAGCAAAAAGGTAATATACTAAAACTAATCAAGTAGAAGTCATACAAAATTCTTATAATTAATTTACAAGGAAATGTGTAACAGCTAGAGGGGAGAATTTACCATCTGATCTTGGGAGTTATAGGATTACAAATATCACTCAAGTAATGTGTCACCATTCCGTTTCCCTTTCATACCTTGTATTCCTGTCGTTGCTTTTCCAAAATGTCTAAAATGCAGCTGACATTATCAAAGGACACTATTTGGTCATGAACCTGCTTGAGCCAAGAGTCCATATCTGTGATTTGTTTCTCTAATTCCACTGCATTCTTGAGCGCGTCATCCAACTTACGGCCTTCCTCGTCAGCCTTTGTGCTCACTTGTTCCCAGGCTTCTGTCAATTCATCCGACTGCCTTTGAAGGGAGGCTGCTGTGGTAGGATCGCTGTTCTTTATCATGGCTTGGACGGCTTCAGTGATTCGTTGGTATGTTTCCTTACGTTTTTCAAGTACGTCTAGGAAGTCCTGTAGAAGTAAAGGGATCATTGACATCGTCAATAAAAAATATTGCCTGCGTGGTTCGAGTGCAAATCGTTCCCGGTTTGTTTATCTATTGCAGAACATCTTAAAATTTTTAGTTCAGTAGCAACTGGTTTATTCTTGCGCGAGTGATGTTTTCTCTACTCCAACAAAGTAGATTATCAAGGATTTTTAAACATATTCATATTATGTTTTCAAACCCCCGCAATGAATGAAACTATCGTTCAAACCCGTAAGTAAGAATTTAAGGCATTTATTTCCCAAAACAAACCTTATGCTTGGTCAGTTGGTTACGTGCACTCCCAGGGCGCCCGCCAATTTGTCTCCTGGAGTCAAGGAAGTCACGTCCCTCATTCAGCCAAGTTCTCAGTTCCTTCATCTGGTCCATGACGTCATGAGACGCGCTTAGGGCAGCTGCGAGGTGGGCGTCTAAGCGGGCTGCTTTGTCTAACACCTCCTGCCAGCCGTCCTGTAGTTCCGTCATCTTCATCTGCAGGGAACCACTATCCAACTTGCTGTCTCCATTTTCCGTCAGCAGGGAAGAAGCCGCGCGCGTCACGGATTCCACAGATGGTTCGTGGGCCAAGATGTCATTGTAGAGAATCTGAAGACGAAAATCGCAGAAGTAAATATCTCTCTGAGTGTCCTAATAACTATTAGCAGTTAAGGTGAGAAAAGCCAGAACCGAGAGGGCTCAGAGGCGAGATAGCTTGCTTCCCATCACTGAGGACATGGGGCCGCCTCGTGCATGTGTCACAATTACTCTTTCTACTTTAAAAAAACAAACAAACAACAACAACAGCAGCATTTGACGATTGATATTCGTCACTTGCTCAAAAGTAAAGATTCACACCTTGTGTTTGGCTTTTTCCACCTCAATAAACTTAACGTCTCCCTGAACATCCCTGGCCAGCTGCTCATCCAAAGTAGCATTGGTCTGTTTGACCCAAACCAGAAGCTCCTCTAAGGCCAGTTGGAACTGTCCTAGCTGTAACAGAGCACCTTCAATTGTCTTCTGCCTCTCACCGGAATGAAGACACAAGTCATCCCATCGAGTGTTCAAATCCTCCAGCTGGGCCGCTATTAAATCTGCGTCCTCCGGACGACACTGCTCACTAAGAATTGTACCCTTTTGGTTTACAGCTGTCACATCGCTTTGGAGTGGTGTAAGTTCCTTATGGAAGTCCTATAACAGAAGAAAGCTTTTTAGTTTTAGAGGCCACGAATACGGTAGTTTAACTTTTACAACAGAATCAAAAAATCCTCGGTATTAATTTTGCATTTCTGAAAAGCTTCTACATAAACTTGACTAGAAATTGGCAAATTTCAATTGCTCTAGGCTAAATTGTGATGATGATAGAAACATATCATTAGAGGACGTTCGTTAATTTAGCACAAAGAAGTTACCTTTTGCTCTTTAAGTTGTTCTTTGACGATATCCAACTCAGTTCCCACCGGCGGCTGCTCGGCCAGCCTTTCTTCTAAGTTAGTCAACTTAGCCAGCAAGGGGTCATGGGTATTGTGATACTGAGTAGCTGTTTCCTTGACTTCCGCCATGTCAGCTTCTCTCTTGTTCCAGGTCTTCTCGATGTCTGCCCACTGTTTGGTGACCTTGGAGAGTTCTGTTTGTACTAGCATCTTGTCGCCTGGACTACAGTGCGCTACAAGAACAGGACTGATCTCACACAACACATTCACTGCTTCACTGTGTGCGTCCAGCTCTGTTCGAAGCTCCTAAATAAAAAAGACGAAACAACCAGAGATATTTAGAGGGGATGTCGCAAGAAGTTTATTACCGGTAGGTCCAAATATGCAATGCAGATCATGGGTAAGACTTCAAAGAAAAGAGTTCCCCATACCGTACAAAGATTACAGTCGGAGAAACCACGGAGAACACAAACTGGGACGTCACTGACTTGACATGGTTGATGGTTTGGTGTGACTGTGTTATTTGACGTCTCACGAAAAGAGACATGCTGGTTGTAAAAGTGAGATAGTTCAAAACAGTAGGAAGTAAGAGATTCCTACCTGATGATCGTGAATCTGCTCCTCCAGTACCTCTAGCTCAGGGGCCGGGGGTTCTTCGGAGTCCTGATGATCCTGCACGTCCTTGAGGATGTGCTTTATCTCATCTAAGCCCGTCCAAAATTTGTCCCCGGCATCGAGGGTCAGTTCTAGAGATTTGTGCCTGTCATCATACATGGTCTGCGTATCGGATGCAAGCGTGGAGCAATGATGTTTTGGAATCTGGGTTGGCATTTACCACAGCAGTCGCTAGCGGTCTGATTTCTTCCACCATTTCCTTCTCTGGATCAAACTCACTTTGAAGTACCTGAACAATGAAAGATAGGAAAATTACACTTGGGTTGTGTATTACGACAGGCGATCAAAAACCGCTTTAATATTCCCGCTGCGCAATAAACAAACGCAACCTTTTGTGTCACATGTTTGAACATTGAGTTATGCCAAATTACCTTCAGCTCTTCAATCTGTTCACGAATTACATCTGGTCTCACACTGATCGGTTTCAAACTTCCAAAGTCTTCTTTTCTCTTTTCTAACAGTGTCTGTAACTCGTCCAATCTGGTCTGCACTTCTTCTTCTTGTGCTAGGGTCATTCCGATCTTAATTCCTCGCTCCTCTGTCTGTAGCTGAAGTCGTTCGTAGCGCTCAACACAAGCTGCCACCTTTTGTTCAATTGAAGTGGATGCCTCACCTGGGCCGCTCAACTTAACAAGGTCGCTTCCAGTCTCTTCCAAATTGCCGATTAAAACTTTAAGGGCAGTGATACCCTCTTGGATTGACTGCAAAAGAAACCAAAGAACTCGTTCTTTCAATGAAGGAGTGAAATTGAAAACAGGTAAGACGCGTTTAGGTAATGGTTGACGCGCTGGTGTTGTGCCCCCACGCAGGGCACTTAACTGTCTCGGGGGCCTCTTCTCCCTCCAGGAGCATGAATAGATACCAGTGAAATGAAATGTCGCAGGATCGCGCTTCCCCGTGCAAGCTGCACCACAGGAACTTTCCAAACTCGTGATCGTGCCTTCTTAGAGTCTAAAGGTTTTAAAGACAACGGAAATATCTCAGTAAAGCAAAAGAAAATTACCTTGATTCTCTCCTGTTGAAGTTCCGCAACCGATTCATCGTCCAGCTTAAGGAAGTTTTCCTCGCAGCGATCAAGCCAAGTGACCACTTCTTTGTGAATGTCTCTGAACTGCTGAGACAGCAACAGAGCCTCTACTAAAGCTGCCTGCCTAACTGACGTGTCATTCTTTACACCCTGGTAGCGAGTCTTGATACTTTCGAGATCGTCTTTGATGGCTTGCTGTTCCTCATCCTTAAGTGCTGGTATCAGCGCCTCGCCGTTCTCGCACACAGATTTAACGGGTTTCTCATGGGCTGCAACGTCTGCGTTGAGGGCCTAGAAACAGAAAACGAGAAACTTGTATAAAAGATCGCCAACCCTTTCAACTCCAGAGGCGATGAGTACGTACAATTTCCTTACTATTTCAGTGCACTGTCCCGCAGAGAGGTAATGAGAATAAGGAAAATCACCCTCTCAACACGCTTACTCGTTAGAGAACTCCCAGTTTTACAAATAAAACCAGCGCTATTGTAAGAACTTCCGTGTTCAATTTACAAGACACATCTTATATTTTACAATTAATTTCGCTGTTTTCTTTAGCTTAATTTTTTTCCTTCATCACTCTAAGTAAGTGCGAGGGGGTATTGGAGGATCAGACTGACATAGCCTCTTCCGCACAGCCACGCAACTTACCGCCTGTGTTCCTAACTGTTGTTTGACTTGCTCTGGCTCGACCCCCACAGGCTCCAAATTGGTCAGCTTTCCTTCAGTATCAGTGAGCCACGCCTTCAACTCGTTCACTTCAAGCTGGTAACTGTCTACACGGGCCTGAGATGAAAACAATTTCTTGGCCAGCTCGTCCACATCGGCTTGCAAAGAGCGCCACTTTTCGTCCACCTCGCTCTGTGCTTGATCTACTTTTGGTTTTTCTTCTTGGACGAGGTATTTCTTAAGGTCGTCTCCAAGTTCTTTACATGAAGAAAGATCTGGTTCCTTGGCCGACAAAGCCTTCTGGATTTCCTTTAACAAGATAAATAAGAATAATGAACCAATGTCTTCCTCTTCAGACTTTCGGCCACATTTTGCTACTCGTGCTATGCTCACGAGGCTGGACCCCTTTTACGTTGGGAAGAGATTATAATGTAGCTCCTTCCCTGTATTTCGATACATCATTTAGCAAACAGGTAAAGGGAAGAGACTTATGAGCCAGGAATATTACATGGAATCCACTATCTTGTCACAAGACTTGGAAAAATTTTCAATTGAGTGTCGAGAGTAATCCAAGATAGTATTGGTTTTGCTGCACTTCGCTCTGGTCCAAAAACTCGCGCCATTCTCACTCTTTCTTGTGATTGGCCGATCTGATCACTTTGGCTCTGGATTTACGACATTCAATCGAAAAGTGCTCTATTAACAAGGATATGTTTGCTGTAGGGGCGAAGTTCTAATAAAATCTTGCGAGTTGAAGGGTAACCAAGGTACAAACATCTGTCTTTAGCCTCTCACACAGTGACGAAATTGTCGCCGTTTTGTAGAGAATATCACGTTTTTCAACAAGCTGTGCACTTCTTTCTAAGTCAGCCCTGTAGCAGTAATGACAGTGCAAAGTTCATTGATACTAACCTGAAGTTTCTCCTGCTGAACAAACAAGCTGTGTTTACATACTCTCATCTAAACTAACTAGTTGGCTTATTGAGAGCGTGCGAACTATCTCAATTATTTTATAACCATCATTAGTTATAAAAGTGTGACTTGCAAAACCGAATTACAGTCACTTGGTTTTTTTTAGTAGTTTTGGCTTCGATCATGCAAATCACACCCGCTAGAAAATGAAAAGTTCACGAAGACAAGGAGTTTATTATCACGCAAAGATAGCTTAGCGTTAAAAAGAAGAGACTTAGGTTGTACTGTGATTGATCTTGTGATGAAAATCAAACCTCTCAAAGGAGTAAACACTGAAGCCTGACATTTCCTGTTGGAAAAAGAATAACACTTTTCATTTTCCATGTTCAATTACATCATGACTGATAAAAGTGTGACGTACGAAACCGAAATACTGTGGACTTATTGAGTGGTAGGGGGTGCAGCGAGGTCCTTTCTTCATGACCCTGAGCTTAATATTTTCCCCACTGGTCCCACCAAATTCTGTCAATAAGCATTTTATCATATGACCACTAACTGTTAAAAATTTTTAACCTAAATGGGACGCGATAGACGGGCATACGGGCACACAAAAAAATATGCAATTTAAAACTTTTCCTTTTATTTCGATTAGCCCCGAGGGGGAAGGGAATATCCTGAACACACGTGATCTGGATGCATTAAACACTGTGACAGCGGAAGTTCAGAAGGTTGGGAAAAGTAATTCGTTATTTTTGTTGTTTCATTTTGAAAGCATCAGCCACATTGTCAACATCTTGGTAAGTGCGATTGAAAATCTTTTCTAGTCACTCGGTTTTTATCAGCCTTAGTCATTTAGTAACTGTAGAGAGGTAAGGCTCTTATGGCAAAGCCCAGTACCTACTTTATCCCTTTATTATTTACTTTATCCAGTACCTGATCTTTATGTTTGCAATATGTTACGTTTCGAGTGTTAGCCCTTCGTTAAAGCGGTTGATGGCGCGATTGAATCGTCACCACAGTGAAATAAATTGATTCTACGGCGACTTTTTTAAATCTCTGTGGCTTTATACCGTATAATTTATCCTCATTAACTAAAACAAGGTTATTGAGTATCGTTCAATTTGAGAAATTGATGATCATAAAACTAGACTGTCCCACGCTGACATCATAGGAAATCCGTAGTGCTTCATTACGTGGTTTTCCAGAGGCTATGATCTGCACTGGCTATTAACTTGACACTTTTTTAGGAGAGTTTAACGATCGATTCAGAGATCGCGGTAGATTCCAATTGAATTTCCGTTTTCTACTTGTACACTAACGTTTCAAGGTCGAGACACCATTCACTTAAATTTTTAGATACTAGCGGCGGGTTCTACGGTACATATTTTTCTAAACGCCGTAATCTGTTTTTTTGTCTGCTTAAGCGCTAGAGCCTCGCATAAGAAGATAAGTCATGACGCTGCGCGCTCGCGAAGAGAGATGTTTTAATTTTCTGAGAGAAACTAAGACTTTCTTAAATTCAATGTTACTGCATACGTAGTATAGGCGTACTTTTCCGTTGATCGGATGCTTCATATCTCCACCGTTAAATGGCTTTCTTAAAACAGTTAAGGTTTCATACAATAAATTTCAACCAGAATTTAACTAAGATTGTTCAGCATTGTTTAGTTTGAGAAACTGATGGTTCCCACAATCACGTGATCAAAAACTAAAATCAATCCTATATTAAGACATATTTGTCATGCAGAATGTCCTTTACTGATGTCAACAGAGGCGGCCCAAGCTCACACTCGAGAAAAAGCAAACGATTAATTCATGAAAGCGTCACGCGTTGTGTGACTCGGTGTTAACTTACCAGAGTTGAACACGTCATAAGGAATTGTATGGGGAACGAAAGATGGTCGATTTGAAGTTATAAAAATGTGACGTACAAAACCGAAATAGATTCACTGCGGAGTAAACTACGGATCGGTTTTCCATATCAGTTCATGAAAAGTTGATTATCGCTCACAGATAGCTTACCGTTTAAAGAAAGAAGCTTTGGTTCTGTTGGTATCGATCTTGTAATGAGATTTCAATTTTCGAAATGGATGGACACAGAAGCCTGACGTTTCCGGTTAAAAAAAGAATGAAATAATTTAATTTTACATGTTCAATTCTATCATTGGTCACAAAAGTGTGACGTACAAAACCGAAATTCATCCCCCACCTCTCCCTTCCTCAAAAGAAATATGAAAAACTATTAAGTATGTGATAACAAGTGATGTGGTTATGTTCGAGCAAATTACCGATCCACTCCGTCCGTTTTCTTTTTTTTTTTTTTTCTTTTTTTGTTTAGTATTGTGTTAATA